AATTGAATGAGTACGGTGACGGAGAATTGGGTCCGCCTCTGGATCCACGCAACCTAATGGCAGATTTGATTGAGTTTGCCTCCGTGGTTATGCAGGGCATTAAAGACAGTAAGTTCTCTTCTGTGCATTGGATCTCTCCAGTGAAACGTGAATATTAAACTTTGCGTCCAATTGAATTCTTTCAACTTGTCTTCTCGAATTTTTTCCATCATTTTTTTGCCTGCCCACTTTTCCTTTATTGTTTACTAAATAGGTTAGCGTAAGCACACAAATCTTTTGTTGTGGTTAAGGGAGTTTACTCTGCTAAACAGGTTTCGACTTGTTTATTTATTTATTTAAATCAAATGGCAGGCGTTTTGATTATTATCATTAGCCCTTTAGTTGACTTCAGGCTTCACAGAGGGGAAGGAACATCAAAGTGAAAAAAATCGAGAGAAGGGGAACTGAAGAGTGTTTCAAAGACGAAGGTTGAAAATTTAGAAAAGAATGTGGTGTAGTATTGTGGAAGTGGTCAAATATGTCATACGGGGGGGCCTTGGTAGTTTGAAGTCAACTGCCGGTTAATAGACTTTTTTGCCGTATGAGTATACGTTGCCCAGGGTGCACCACGTGGAGGTAAGTCGATCGCACACCCCGGTTTCGACTTGTCAGAATGGGAAATCTCTGATTGATCTAGTAATCACGCTGACTTAATAAGCGTAGAAATCAACTCTACTATATTTTGGCGTATTCGATGATGAGCCAAAATATTCTCAAGCAACTTCCATAAGTTATTTATTTAAAAAATGATTACATTCATTTTCTACATAGGCTCCATTGTTGTCTAAGCGCTTTTGTAATCAAAATTTCCACCTGTAACTCCCCCTTATGGCAGAATATTAGGGCTGTCTCTGCCACCGTGAAATTGCATACTTTTTCGCTTCATCTAAAGACGTAAATAGAGTGCCTTTAAGATGTTTTTTCCGCTTTTGGAAACAAAATAAAGTTTGAGGGAGCCTAGTCTGGACCATAAGAAGGATGTAGAAGTGTCTCCCGTCGAAATTCGCTCAACAGGGCCCTGGCAGCTCTTGAGGAATGCGCAGAGGCATTGCCATGTTGAAATAAAATTTGACTGTGCAGTGGTGAGGGATGTCTTCAACTTCTTCAAAACGCCTTCATAATAATTTGAGGTGATCGTGTTCTATCCTTCTAGAAAGTCTATCAATATTAATCTCCTTGATTCCCAAAAAGTAGTAGCTATAACCTTCTTAACGTACCTTTCAATTTTGAATTTGACATGGGCAGTTGTTCCCTTTGGATGCCACTCTTGATTCAATTTTGTTTTCTAGCTCAAATTGGTAGATCCAGGCTTCTTCTCCAGTAACACAGAAAGCCTACAAAATTATCTTTTGCTTCCATTTCTGCCAAAGTTGCTAATTAAAGTTCAGCTCCTTTAGATTAAGTTGCTGTTCCTGTAGTGCTTTTCAAATCGACCGTCCCCACCTAGAGCTTGCACGAGCTAAAATATTCAATGAGAATCGAAATTACTGATTCTCAATGGTAACTCGTCGATCGAATTCCGCTAGGTTCTGCGCAAGAATGATGTGTTCTTGATGTGGTAGGTCTCCCTTCTTGATTGCCCTGCATGGATGAGAGTTCCCATAAACCCTTTATGAAGTTTCTGTAGTCTTAAGAGATTTCCAATTTAATTTTGCTAGTGTTATGTTAGCTCTGATATCAAAATTTGCCATTTTAACTGTTGAAAATTGTGGGTTTTCTGGGATGATACATGTCTTGATCCTGACCTTACATAGAATGATCGGACAGTTGTATAATATTGTGGAAGTTATTAGGCATGTTTGAACTTGTAAAAACATGTAAATCTTTGTTCTATTTCAAGTTATATCATTTATCTGTAAACTTTTTTGACTCACCCTCGTATATTTTATCCTGTTAGTACAAATATAACCGATCTTCACTTCTTAAACAGCTTCTTTGTTATCGATTTTGCATCCTCATCATCATCGATTTTCTCGGCAGGTCCTGAACGACTTATTACATGCAGTCTCTGCTTCAAAATAATTTCCCAAGCAACTAAGGCAAGTCTTGTTCACAACCTTTTTTCCCTTCAAGGTCACATTTTTTGTTGATAACTCTTTACCTACACCCCTTTAGAATCTTTACGTCTGCTTGTTCTTGCACGAATACAACGTCCATTTCACCATCCAACTACACAGAGCAGTAAGTCATCTAGTTTTTATTTGATAGCTATATACTATTATTTTGCATCCCTTGTTTGGGTACCTGCTTTCGTGGTACAAAAGAATTTACGACTAAGTAGCGACGATTATAATATGGCCTTTTACAAACAATATAAACTGTCTTGACTTGAAGCTGATAATTAGGAATTGATTTCCACAAAGAATTAATAAATTTTGCTGAGCTACCGCCCTTCCTATGTTCTTCTGTCTTCTTGGTCTGCGAGTTTGGTCATGTTCACGTTCGTTGCCAAGCTTGTTTCTACTCAGATTTAACAGAAGGAGCACAAGCGCCTTATTACTGTATACATTCGGTGAAAAGTGTCCTGTCAATAGCTGTAGTCTGTCCAAATTTGCACTTATTAGCTTTATTTCCCATTCCTCCGCACTTCGACAAAATTAATCCTAACCGTGCCTCCTTATTTAGCATCTTCGACATCGCAAATCAGCAGTTGGCCTTCTGGATCGCAGTTCCTCAAACACTATGGCTGCTGTTCTCCTCGGTACTTTTCCTCGTTTTGTATTCCCCTCCCCCTCCCTCAATTTATCGGACTTGATTTAAAGTTAACTCGGTCAACCTTTAATTTTCAAGATCTTTTAGTGGAGTTTTTCTGCACCCATTTGATGAAATCCTTCCCCTTCGAGATTCACGGGTATGTATGCTCATTAAGTTATATATATCAGTAAAGCGAAGTATTGCAATTGCCATCTGAATTCAGCTAAAATTAAAGTGCTTCTATTATGGGTTAATCGGGATGTGGAGGCTTAAAAGCAGCGCATCAAAAGGGCCTTATCTCAGATTGTATTTGAATTGGCTTCTACTCTATTGGCCTATTGCGTAACTAGCGATTTCATGCTTCGCTTTTACTATTTATCCCATGAATTGCTGAATGCGTTCTTATCCACTGCAATTATATATTATTAGCCTGTTTTTGTACTTTGATGGTTGATCACGCTGACTTTATAATTTTTTTCCCATATACCTGCCACAGCTCATTAGAATCTACTCAATACTAAAAGCTTGTTAGTTAGGCTAATATTCTACTAATTTAAACGTTGATTTTGTTTTTTTTGTGCAGACTGTGTTTGGATATTTGCTATCATCTCCTCTCCCATCAAAGGGAATATAGCATTCGATTGAACTACGATTGGCGACAATTGTGGAAAGGTGCGTTTGCGTAATTTGGTGTTGCATGACCACTCACTGGACTAGCTCATTCAGACTCAACAAGCTCTGTATGTTGCTACCATAATTCCACCCAACAATTTGAGCGTCAATTCGGAATTAACCATTAGGACATTGAAGTGGGAATCTTACTTCTCACGAGAAGATTAGCGGCTCAATACGCTTATTATTGTTTCTCTAGTCTCATTACCTACATTTCATCCGTTTTATTACTTATTGAACTCATTCGCTGTTCCTCTCATTCGAGCGATTTCCTGTGTTTTCTACATATATGTCTTTTTTGGCACTGTAATGAGCACTAATAATGTTATAGTTGTGTACTATACCAATCAGGAAAATCCGTTTAAACTTTTAATCTCGATTTTTGGGGTAATATGAAGTAATTTGTTCTATGTTATCGATGAGAATGCGAATCAGCCTCTAAAGTCCCGAATTCATTGTTGTGTTATGTCTTGGGGACAATGCAAAAGCAGTGTCTAGTTTTCTACGAATATTCGCACGCAGATGCTAACACAACATTTGTCTACTCCAGCAAAAATATAATCTTGGAGAGATAGGATTCGACTGTATTGTGTAAGAGATAGGAATTCTCATTATTGCCTGGTTAATTCGTATGGATCGGTCAAATTTGGAGCGTCTTTGTTGTTGTTTTTTTTGAAGAGCTTGTCTTAGTCTATGATTTGTGTAAACACTCTTTCTTGTGCTTTCTGACATCTGTATCCCCAAAAGATGCCTCAATGTAAGTGAACTCATAGCTTTTCTAATGTAGCATTGGCGACTATCTTTCCCAGATGAACCCCTTTTTAAGTTCTTTGTGTGTGTTGTTGCTCTTCTAGAACCTAATTCCACCCTTCCCCTTCGTGTTAAGTTTATTGTTATCTGACACTCGGTGGAAGGACCGCTGTATAGACCTCAATGAGCCCTTCTTTACTTTAACAGTAAATTCAAATTGACAGTAACGGCTTCATCTACTTTTACCTTTACATTTTTTGTCATTTCTTCTGTCTACCTCTGCCCATAGTCCTCTAGTGTTAGTCCCTATTACTCCAACCATTTTCATCATGGTAATCCAAGCGAAATCTGGTAACAACGGAGTCGGTGCTTGTTCGTCGAATTCCATTTTAGCCTATTCTTATTACAGCTATGTTGAGTGAGGCAGTTCAGCCTGATATTTGTGCGAATTATTTGTGTCATCATTGACTAAAGACTACTAATTTCCACACCATAACTGATGATTCAATCTCATCTCTCTTGCCCTTTTAGTTCTCTTTGACCTCATGAAATTTGTCATTAAACGTGAAGGACCCGTGATTTGTGAAGAGACATTCACCACTTTGCTGAAGGTAAGAAGTTCGTTTGATATCTGTCACCTTTTAGATTGTGGGGATCTTCAATTTTTTCATTATCTATGGAGACTGTTTTCTACTGGGCCCAAGTACCTACGATGATCTCTACTATGAGCTAATTCGTCGTAAGGATGCTATTGAGCAGCTAATCAAGTTCGGTGAGTAAGATCATTAAGATTATGTCTATTGGATTAAATGGATCAGTTCTTTCCCCTAAATTATTCAGTATATTCACACTTATTCTATAGAAAATGAAATTGGTACTATTTGATTCATTGTAACAGGTCGCATCTTAGGTAGGGGAGGCCCTTTCTGTCCTGAACTGCTGCTGTAATCCGCTTATCAGTTTAGCTCACTTTTCCAGCCCCTTTATTGCGGCGTTTGTGAGCATGTTTGCCCATTTTACGACGTCATGTATCGTCTTTGTGGTTAAGAGTTGCTCTGCCTACTGATTGCAATGCTTACACCTTCCTTTACTACTATAATGTGTCTTTCCGTCGCATTCCTGGGGCTATAGCCAAATCCGTTTTCTCTGTCCTATATTTGTAGCCCTCTGAGTTAATTCCTGCCCGCCTGCAAACTGAATAGAAGTTAGGCAGATTATGACACTATGATTTTCATTATTGGTGTAAGAAACCCAGCCTGAATAAGTCCCTATTTGAAATTGCAAAATGTCTACAAGAGTATGAAAGATGAAAAGGTGGATCAATGAGCTTTGGACCACTCAAAGTGAGAAGAAACAACTTTCTTCTCGTAGTGGCCACGACACTCACGCAGTTAGAAATTCTTATTGAGTAAATCTCAGTTATTACCTTACCATTAATATCTGTGTCCCCATTTTGATATGTGTGTGTGTATGCGCGCTTGAAAGTGGCTCTCTATTGGGTGAGTTTGTGTGCTGTCTTAGCTCACATCCAGTACCACATTATCAGCGGGTTTTTTTCAGCCGATCAATATTCAACATCCGAGGGTGGTTGGAAGTCTCTGCCAATGGACCTTCGTGATTCAATCAAGAATTTGGAGTATGCTTATTCTGACTTACCCATTTACGTTGATTTAACACTACTTAAATTTCAAATTATTTTTTTCATTTAAGGGCTATAGTCAGGCATTATAATATGAAGATATCTGCCTTCATCTCTAACGGTAGCGTGGCCTCCCTAACCGAAGACGAAGCTATGAAAATTATTCAAGACAATTACTCGTCGCTGAACCTTCGAGTTTATGACGAGCTTCATAAATACTACGAACCGATCACTAGATTTGTGGAAGATTCTGATGAACGAATGGTAAGCTCAATGGGATGATATTTCCCTGGTTATAAATTTGGTTGAGTAAAAGTTTACATGCTTATCTCCCATGTCAGAGGTAGTAATTTTGATGCTTCTTGAAATGACTTCGTTATTAATATCATAAATTTAAAGAGTGCCTTCAGATACACAAGTAGGGCAGAGAGTGTATACCACTTAATACTACATTTTTAGTGGATTGCAAAATTTAATGATTCGGATCCTGTAATTTGTTATTTGTAGTTCTAGTTGATATATGCTGTTTATTACTAGCACACTTCTGACTTAATAAAGAACGCGCAAGCTCACATTTTCCTTTTCCTATCCCACTTTTTTTCTCGGGTTCCGGAGGAAATTTCGTTTATTTTCATAGATAATTTGGCTTTTTTGCTCTCTGGTTTATTCGCCATTCATTGGCCATTTGCAAATTTATATTCGATGGTTTGAATAAGCATGCGCCTAAATGGAGGGAAAGTTCAAAATCAGAATTAGAAATTGGGAGATCAGGTGGGTGGCATGTGCAAGTCAGTCTTTTATCCAAAGCAGGCTTTGCGACCAGATGTGGACAACATAACTCCATATTCGATGGGCGTTGAAGGAAGAGAAGTGTTGGACTCTACTGACTTGCTTCAACACTTTTATAACCTCAACCAATTTTAGGTGCTACTTATACTTTCCTGCGTACATTTTTAACGTCTAAGATAAGATAAAATCCAATTTGGGAAAGGAAGTAGCACTTCAGGGTTTCTTATGAGAAATTTCCATTTTAGTACTTACTGTCTGTCATTTCATTCGCTGGTTATCTGACTTTGAGGACGTTTTATACTAGATAAAATGTCTAGTGTCTGCCCAGCACTCCACGAGGGTGGAAGGGGGGATGTCGCCTCACAATAGTTTGTCCTCTTCTGTTTGAAATGGGTTTATTGTCTTTTCTTGTTTTTTCCTTTTCTCGTACCCTTCGAAAGTATCGTTGGAGGACCATGGCACATTCGTCTATGCAAACTCTGTTTACACAGACAATAGTGACATCTTTGTGTGTTGACACTTTTTCATCCTGGCTCTCACGGCCGTGGCTCTACCTCTCACGCAATAATATTCTTGTCATTGTCGCACTGAAAAGTTCATTATCTTGCATTAATCCAATACAGACAGGTTTGTGCACTCGCACTCAATCCTCTGCTTCCTCTGTATCCCCATCTGCTAACACACGTTCAGTGTCTTTCCCGTCTACCCTTTTCTCTCTTTCTAGGTTTGTAATTGATTATTTAATCTTTGTGATGTTTCCTTAGCAGACGTCAACATCTCCACTTTTCCAATGCTCTAGTGATCAAATAGTTTCCAATTGCAACTTCTTGCAAAGGAAAACCTAGTTTTTGAGAGCTAAATCTTCGTTATCTGTTTCCTCTTTCCTCCTTGCCACTTAAAATATGCGAAGTGTGTAGTTAATTACATTTTCCCTTTAATTACGAAATTGATCTTTCGAATAAGTGAAGATAAATTGCCGTGACCTCAAAAAATTCTCTCCACTGCACTTTTATTCTGGTTATTTTAGTTCTTTTAGGAGAGAAATAGATTACTCCATAAATTCAATATTGAAATCTATAAATTTACCTAACCAATTTACACCATTAATACGACACTTCACTTTTTATCTCATCAAATGGACTGATAATCAAGATAAGTTTAACGGTGGCCGTCATTAGTGTGCTTGGATTTGATACTCCTAGTGAGTATTATTACTGTTTTTTTCCTTTTTAGTTGGCTGGTATTGTTCAAGGTTTTCGGAGAAACTGTTTGGAGTCCTCAATCGCCTATCAGTCACGATTCGATGAATTGGCTGTGATACATTAATAATGTAACCAGGAAATGTGTTGGATCTTGAATGTAGTTTACTGTGTTCAGTACCATTTTCTGCTTTTTATATTAAAATTTCTGTGAATAAATAAGTGATTTCCGATCTCATTGGGTGTTTTCAATATTTTTGTTGATCTGTAGCTGCATTTAGAGACGGGGGTGTGTATGGATCTATGATAAAACTTCAAGAATCTCTTTCATACTATTAACAGAGATATCCATGGTATCAAATCTTTAAGTGGCGGTCCAAGAGCCACCACACTGCTGTAGAAAACGTGGCCTAAATAAGACTTGGCCGTATACCATCTCATACTGAATCCAAGAAAAGATGGATATCGTAATTGTACTGCAGTTCAATAAACATTAAAGGCCACAAGTGTAAGAATACGTTCATCGAGCATCAGTGGCCACTTATGTTTGAAGGAGATTGAAACCGTGGTTGATAATGTCCAATGCTCTCCTGTGTGGGCATGATGGTTGGGGCTAATATTATACTAGCCAATTAGATGCATGCAAGCCAACGATTACTGTAATAACTATTTTAATGAGTATGACTCTTAAGATTTTTGCACCAGTCCTGTGCTAAAAATCAATAGCACAGAAATAAAAATATTCAATAAATAAATCACATTCTGAAAAAATTCTACTCATGAGCCAGTATGAGTTAAGTTCAAAGATCGGAAACGTTTAGTAGTACCCAGTATCTTTTTAGAGCACATTTTCCAATGGTGCTATTTTCTTAAAAAATCAAACTATTAAGATATTCCAAGAGTGCACAACACTTTCATAAATTTACATTCATTTCATAAAAAAAGTCAAAATCACAACCCGACCAGTAATCAAAGTATTTATTCAAATTGAAATATTTTCTAAGGACTTCTTAAAATTAATGGCCCATCATTTTGTTATAAGCAAACAAAAATTAAAGAAATTTTCAAAAGAACACTAACTTTTCCTGTATAGTCTTCAATAAAGAGAACCAAGGCCAGTTAATAGGGTTGTGATTTATAATAGAATTGTGGAGTTACTGTATGCTAATCTATGAACACATTATTGGTCAAATGGTCATAGAAAATTATCTATAGCCTACAATAACGAGCTTCATAGGAATACCTAGACCGTATTGAAAATATTATGCGATCGTTTGAAATCACATCCATCACGAATCTATATTCATTTATTTTTATAAAGAAAGAATACTAAGAATTGCAATACGTAAAGTTTGTGAATTACTACAGAAAAATTGTAATATATGAGAATTACATTGTATGAAACGATCATGCATCAGTTAATAGCACCGAAATATAAGAAAACAGTTAAAAGAAATATCTCCTTGAGATAAAAGTTCAAATGTTGGCATGAAAGGAGGAAAATTAAATGATTTTATAGCATCTTTGGAAGTAAGAACGAAGATTAATGACAAAATTCAATAAATAAATTAAAATAATAATTTTGTGCATATTTGTTCATAAGCTCATAAAAAATAATATTTAGGGAATTAAAAAAGCTGCACCGACAAAAGACTTTTTAATGATTTTAATAATACTGTGATGCCAATATAATAAAACGTAGCTATTTTTAAATATTATTTCTTAAAAAAGTTAAAAACAACGTAAAGTTACGTAAAATAAATTAATTAAAAATTATTTAGACCGATGTTTTTTTGATATGTTGAAGGGAAAGTTTAAATTTCATAGAATTTCTGTTTATATCTATCAATTTACAATCAACTACATTACGAAATTCAACCTTAAATATGGGCGATAATAACGCTTCAAGAGTGGGTGTATGTTTTGTCTCTATTTGTGCTGTTTTCTTTATTTTTCAATTCTTTTTTTTTAAATAGGACAAAAGCAGTGAACCAATTAACCTTACTGTACATGGGCAGGATGGTTCAATTATCCATTTCAAGATAAAGAAGTCAACTCCTTTCAAGAAACTTATGACTGCCTACTGCCACCGACTGGTATTCGAATTTTGTTTAATATACATTTTCTAGGGCTATACTCTAAATAATGTACGTTTTACATGCGATGGTGAGCACATAAATCAAGATGATACTCCTGAGTCGGTATGTATAGAATTTTGTATACATTTGTCTCTAGATGGACATTGATAATAACGACACCATCGAGGTATTCCAAACTCAAACCGGTGGAATATAAGAAGCATTTAATGTACATTAATACCCTATATTTGTTAACATGAATTTTTACCTTACATATTTCTTTTTTTGCTTTGGGTAATTTAAATGTCTTGTAAAGCCAATTGTAATTTTAAAAGGGCTACTTTCTTTTCACTTGTAAAAGTCTGGTTGATGCGATAGTTAAAGCCTTGTTTGGTAGCTGAAGTGAACTGGGATAATGACGCAAGCAAGTAAAAAGAGGTATTCTATCGTTGCACATTTGTTAATGTGGGTCTACGCGGTTCTGTGGGTGCGCTGTTTGTGTCTTAGGTTAGATTTCTATTGGAAGCTTGTTGACAGTAGGCAATTCTAGCCGTTCGTCAATGGTCGTCGTAGTCGAATTTTAAGCCATTTAGGGGAAATTGGCTGATAGGTGGTAAATGTTCCTATCCAGAATTGGGATGAAGAGTTTGAGCGGAAATCTTACTTTGGGACCCTGATTTGAGTTAAGAGAACTGAACTGCGCTCGAACCTATGATCTTACTAAATGTACTTTAAATTCGAAAATTTAAGAAGGACCACGGTATATCGTTATGCCAAAGTCAAACTGAGATGATGATAGTGTTGTCCTGGATGCACATCGTGATAAAAACCATGAGCTACTGAATGGTAAGTTGGATGAGTGAGCACATCAAGAAAAGCTTGCTTGACTAAATTGTGAGTGAGCTCTATGAATTACACATAGCTGTAATGTTTTGATTTCAATCGTGAATGACAAATAGTGTGAATGAATGGGAAGAAAGCACCTTAAACTAAAGATGACTTAGCAAAAATCCTTTACTAACTCGAATCCTCACGATTAGAAAACACTCGTTGGTCAATGTGAAAATATGCGCCTTTTTGTAATGGCGACCATGACAAAAGAAATCATGGCCATTATTATGTATTTGTTTAAATGCATTTTCCAATTTAAATAATCGGGTGGATTAAATATTTTTGGAATTTTAGCATGGCAAACGTGCGAGTCGTTAAATTACGCGCCATCTAGGATGCTTTAAATTCTTATAAAATCAATAAAAGTATTTTTTTAAATTTTGATGATATATAGCTTTAATGGAATGCATAATCATTGTAGGGTATCATCACTTTTTATTTTCTCTCGGCATAAAGTTTCGATCAAATACTTAGAGTTTCATTTAGTTACTAAGAAAAGTACTTATGCCTTTAGGATGAAGAAGAATATTTCTTTAAATTAAAATTAGCATGTTTATAATGTTTAAATTCTTCATTTAATAGAAGTTTGAACGTTTTCGTATTTTGTTTATATTTAGTACAGAAGTTTCAATTATGCATTTTCAATGTCAGCCTTGTATTAACAAGTAGTGTAATGACTAAATATAAACACTGACAACAAGTCACGCTAGCTTCATCGAAAAGTGTTCCGAATAGAAATTTAAATGTTTATTCTCTCCAATTTCAACACACTTCTTTTGGATCATTATTTCCTTCATTCGTTCCTGATCAGTTTTGATAGTGCAAAGTATGATTGTTTTCTTTGTAAATCATGGCACAAAATCACGTTCGTATTTTACTGCCACGTTCACCAAATACTTAGGCTAATTCAGACAAAACGTAAACTTCTTCGACTCAATTCATTCATGGACCCTTATGACATGATGAAATTTATAAATCCTCTACACCTGCCGTGTGTTCTTTTTCACAATAAGTTTTTCTTAATTCCATGAAGATTATTTACCCTCTTTGTTCTTTCAAAGGAAAAATTAAAACTGACTATTTGAATTAATTAAAAGGTTAATGCGTGCCGATCTTCGTTGATGAAAATTTGTACAGTATTTCGGTGTACCATTTGTCAAATTTGGACTGGTAAATGAAACTTAGCTGTTAATTAAATTTTGCATAAGGGATATAGGAAATGGAAATATGGCTTATTTTCACCATCATGACGATCCCAACCTCTTTCTCTTTCGTTTTGGAATACATACATTCCCAACTAAAGTTATTTTTGTGATAAAGAAATTTTGTTTTATTTGGTAATCAGTGTGTTATAATAATAAAGATCAACTTTTCATTATAAGCTCTCGAACGCACATGTATTCTTGACATAACATAATTAGTTGCCATAAGCTCGACGTTGATCCTAAGGCATTCTGACGTCATAAATACAGTAGTAAATCTTTCTTCGTTACCCATGGTCTTGATTTCACATAATACGATACATTCAACCCCATTTCTATAATTAAACACAGTTGGGATTAATGCCCACTCAATTTTTGGAAGTTTCACATTCATGGAAGCTGCATGAGCTATACCAATTAAAATCATTCTTGCTAACTATTTTACCAGGTTTATTGCTACCATGGCAGACACTGATTATGCTCAAGACTAGTATCAAAATAATTTTTCCAGAGTTTGAATTATCTCAGTTGTGGTCTGTCTGTGTGCTTAGGCAATTTGCTGACGCCACTCTTTCTAGACTCTTCAAATGTTCAACTTTTGTTGGAATAATTGAAGTCACTATTTCTCATCACAAAGGTTATTCAGCTCTCAAATGAATTTAAACTGCAGCGCTAATTATGACCCCTTAAACACGGTTTAATGTTATTGATTTCAAATAGCAATGTGCATAATTTGAGACTGGTGGCGTACACTTCGAACAACTTAGAGGTATCCACTCAAAAATAAGATATTCTATTTATTTTTTACCTTTTTATTTGATATGATTAATACGTCATGGCATACTGGTTCCAACACAGTTTTCTAAATCCGGCTCATTTCTGCCTATTAGTGCCTTCTCTTGGGACGGTATTGGTGATTAGCAATGGATTAGAAGTGTAAGGTCGATAGGTAGGTGAATCTTATAATTTCGACTTAGGGGCTAACTCATAGGTATTTCCTCGTAAGTACCTTCTTGAGCTGCCCTAAAGCTTTGACAGTTTTGTCTCAATTACGATTTACCACGTCCACCCATCTCTCTGCCTTTTGCTTTTTGATAAGACAAGCCAAATATATAATACATACTGGTCCACAAACGGTCTTTTTATTTAAACTTGGATATGGCATTTCCCAACAAATCTTTGCAAAAGAGTTCTTTGCTTAAACTCTAAGAACATGGCCCTATTGCCTTCAGCGTGTGTATGCACAAAGAGGCAAATTAATAGTTGGCGTTTATCCCGCTAACTGAAACAAATTACTTGAGGACGCTCGATGGTCTTCTGTGGCCTACTTGAAGTCAATGCAAGAGTAAGATCCAGTAGGTGGTTGAGATACCTGTATTTCAGAAATTAGTGGTGATGCATAGATTCAGCCCTTATATTTTAAAAGCATATACCTTTCAAATAGTTTGAACAAATTTTGTCTTACCAATCGATACCAAAAAATGTACGTGGCAATATGCATAACCTCAATATTGACCTTATGAGGCTAAATTTTGAGGTTAATTAACATGACTCACCATAAACTGGTGTCACTATCGAACAGACATATATATATATATGTATATATATATATATATCAAATGGCAGGTAATGATAGGTATCATTAGCCCTTTAGTTGACTTCGGGCTTCACAGAAAGGAAGAGGAACATCAGTGGCAAAAAGTCGAGAGGGAGGGGGAACAGAATAATGATTCACAGACGTAAAAGAGACAGACAGACACAAAGGTGGAAAAAAGGTGAGGTGAGCACTGTGAAATTAGTCGAATATGAAATGCAGTGGGATCTTAGTAGTTTGAAGTCAGAAGTCAACTGTCGATAAATAGACTTTTTTGCCGTATGGGTATACGTTGCCCAGGGTGCACCACGTGGAGCTAAGTCTATCTCACACCCCGTATCGAACGGACATTATTTTTTGATCAGATAAGCGGTCGATATCAAACAGTGTCGAAGGTAATATAAGTTTTGTTCTGACCAGACATGGAGATAT